GATAACAAAATAACAACACAAGTACCAACCAAAATCGACTTATATTTATTAGACGATTGGACTAAACAATTCAAATTGGAACTATTACAGTTACAAATCTATTCAAACTACAAAAACTAGCATATAAGTACAAAAAAAAGATCTGATACAAGGAATTAAAAAAGTAATTTTGGAAAAAGGACTTAATAATAACCAAACCAATACATGAATCAAATCTTCCACGGAAACGGAATATATTACCAAATATTTATATTATACTTTAGCAACTTTCCAAAGAAAAGACCACTATCAAATATAGAAATACAGCAATTACGGAAAAGTAAAGAAGAATTAAAATATAAATTAGAAAACAACAGACAAAACAGACAAATAACAACCGAAGTAATAAAAAGAGGAAAAGCAAGAATCTGGATAGACGAAGAAAAAAGAACTCTTACCAAAGAAGTAACCTATCCTGAGGAAATACAACAAAACATAGTAATAACTTTAACTGAAGAAGAAACAGCTTGCCTGATATTATACTCATATATATTAGAAGATTATTGAACATTTAACCAAGCAATAGTACATTCAAGAAAACCAAAAGAGACAATAGAACAACTAATAACATATGCATTACAGTCAATAACATAAAAAGATGTAAGACCCACATACTTACGTTTCATGGCCAAAGATAAGTAACCTATACACAGCAATACCAGAATTTGATAGCAAGGTAGAAAACTATATTGAATGGAGAAACAAGTTAGAAAATATATTTACCACATCAGAAATAATGCGAGTAGCATCATTTGGAAGATATTCAGGGAATGAAAGAGACGGATATATAAAGAGAGCAGGAAACTATCAAGGAACAGAAGCAGATGACACACACCATAAAGCAATATTCAACGGTGAATTCATACAAAGAGTATTAGCAATAGTAGCGTCAAAATTAAAAGGATCAGCAGAAGCACTATACAATAGTAACTCAGCAAGAATAAATTGTTACTACAAAAATCGAGCAGACAATGTAAATCTAAAAGACTCACATAACTACCCATTAGAACAAGTAATAGACTATGGAGGAGTAGCATTTGATGCAACCGCAACAGCATCGGCAGCATTAATGATACCAACATTCGACAGGAATACTGTAAATCAAACACAAGTTTCATTCAGAGAATTATTTGACAATCAATACATATCGGATGAATTGAGGTTAATCCACCAACAAAACTTCCTTAAATACAAATGGACACCAGACTTATCTGACGGACAAAGTGTACAAAACTTTAAAGCAAAATATGAAAAGTTAAAACAACTTTCAAACTACCAATTTGCAAATAACTTCTATCAAGGAGAACAAGCACACTTGCTTGACAGAATACCATTACAATATCGAACTGAAGTATTATTCAGACAACCAACGACCTATGAAGAATTCTTCACATACCTAAATACAACATTCCATAACAAAAGAGTATTAGCAAACGAAAGTGCATTCAGTGGAAAAGATGTTAAACATTTTAAATTAAAAGCAAATAACTTTCAAAAATCAGGAATAAAAATAAGAAATTACCAAAGAAGTGATTACCAACAAACAAGAAAACCTTACCAACCAAGAGATATGTCTAAAGTAAAATGTTACAATTGTGAGGAATATGGACATTACAAAAGAGATTGTCAAAATGCCAAAAAGGAATCATTTAACAGATTTCAACCAAAAAGATTCCAAATACGAAGAAATAACAATAATAAAATATCATTCAGAGGAGGGAGAGGAAAATTCCAAAGAGGAAGACCTTTTAGAACAAATAACAATAACCGATCTAATAATAATCGAAGATTCACTGGACAAAAAACTAAAAATGTTCACTTCAGAAATAATCCACGAGGAAATAACAATTTCAGAAACAAAAGAGTAAATAACATAAGAACCACCAATATCACTAAAGAAAAAGGAAATAACCAAAAGAAAAACTTTAACAACAAAAAAATAAACCATTATCAAGAAGAAGAAGAGGAGGATGAGGAACCACAAGCTTCAACCTCAAATGATCAAAGAAAATATTATTTTTAAAAGAGGACCTGCCTAGTGTTTAGAACCAATCCTCTTATAACAAATCAAATGGTTACACTAGAGAACATATACATATGATCCAAACAGATAATAATATCAGTAGTATTAATTACCTCAAATATATTAACCCAAACTTATTAAATAAAGGACCACAAATTGATAACCAATACATAATATGTTCTGCCAAAAATAAATTATCTAAAAAAATGAAACAAAAGGCAACTGAAAATCCGGAATACCAATACCTCTTAAAAGATTATAAATTCACTAGAAACCCTCAAAGGATGAACACACAACCAAAAAGAAAGAAAGCATATTACTTCATGGCAACCATAAACAAAGAACCAATAAAAGTATTACTGGATGAAGGAGCAAGCACAAACGTCATGGGATACGACTTAGCCAAAGAATATAAATTACTCAACCTCCTACCAAAGAATGAAAAACTAATAAAAAATGCACAAGGACCAGGAGGAAAACAATTAAAAACTATGGAAAAATAGAAGTACTTTTCCAAGTAGACGATTATGCTGAATATATTAAAATCTCTATTATTGAAGAAAACCAACCATACATACTTCTTTCAGAAGCTGACCAAGCTCAATTCAAAATCTCTAAAGACAGAGAGGGACGCATAGTAACCATCAATGGTAAACTAATTAATTACCAAGATGTTGACGAATATTACTAAATACCTAAGGGGTATAGGTTTAATAACCTAGCTCGGAGGGTACCCCCTCGCGCCTTAAGAGATGTTTCAGAGTCTAAAATATTCAAATATCTCAAACTAAGAGATACCTCCCTTAAAGCGAGAAAAAACCCCTCGATGGCGCCCAACGTGGTATCAAAGGTCACGAATCCCACCACGTCAACAAAGGAGCTAGCTCATAATAAAAATTATGAGCCCAACGTGTCGAAAAATGGAACACATACCCACACAACCAATCAAATGATGGCATCCAATCTACTACCAATTAAATGGGTTGATAAAGAATATTATAACCTCAAGTATAAAACCCTAATACAAAAATTGATACCTTACCAATTAAAAGAACAAGAAGCTCTGCTGAAAGAACAAGTAAAAAGAAACAGTCAAAGATACAAACTAATAGGAACAACATGTGATGGAAAATGGTCTGAAATAGTAAAAACTGCTCTAGCAACTGACTCTAATATCCTACAAATCTTTCTGACTTACCAAGAAATAAATAGTCAATTCAAAAATGAACAAGAAAAAAGATACACAATGTTACAAAACAGAGAACCAAATATGACAGAAGACAATAATATAATAGTAGGCAATAAGGCAATTGGGCTAAAAATGATATTACATATAACATTAGGATTGTATATTAATGGATCACTATGGGTAAGTGGTCAGAGGAATTGGAAAATAATAAGAATAATAGAAGAACTAGCACGCGCACAAGAAATGAATATAAGATGGACTGTAATGCATATAGGAACACTAGCTAGAAACAAGAAATAATCAGACGTGATCGCAAATATTAATGAAATATTACACATAATACAAAAGAATCAATGGAATATAGGAATATTACTAGAAAACTCAGCTAGCAACAACTGCTACAGTTCAACCATTTCAGACCTCATGGATATAGTGAATAGCATAAATCAGGAATTACGATTTAAAGATAAGGCAAGGCTACAGAAGCGAATA